GATAAAATTTGATGAAGATTGAAGATGATGAATCCTTTCTATTAACGCCTGAAGTTTTTTCAGGTTATGTGCGGTAACTATATATAATAGAAGTTTTAAACACTAAAAAAAAGTTTTTATTGCCATTATTCCCAATGCCTCATTTTCCTTTCACAATTTTTTTTTTTTTTTTAAACACATTGAAACACAAGGAATCTATAAATTATCAATTCAACTTCAAAAATTAATTTGAGGGGGTATTTTTGTGTTGTTTGTTCTATGCTGAAGAAATTTTTAATACACACCTGATATGTTAGCTTAATTGCGCGTTCAGCACGAAGCCTGAACTATCTATTAAATTGCAAAGCCTGTACGACATAATTTTTAACTTTTTAAAAGTGATCTGGGTATGACTGGAATTAGCGACACATTCCGTAATTCATTTAAGAACCAAACAGAAAATTAAAAAAAAAATATATAGTTAACTAATTGATATTGCGGTTGACTGTATGAAATTCCTATGAATTTTAAGAAATGCAGAAAATCTCGAAAAGATCATTACAAACTGATGAGATTTTTTTCCTCAGTGTGCCGATAATATTAATATTAACATCAACACAATAAAAAAATTACTAAGCTTCCTTTCTATTAACTGCAAACCACTAAATTCGACTATCTATAATTGATTGCAACACTGTTAAAGCAATTCCATCTTTACCTAAACTAGAGAAAAATTTATGAAGGAATTCTTTAAACTCCAAGTGTTACTAATGAATTACTAATCAAATTATAGATGGAAACGAAACTGAAGATGCTGAGAAACTTTGCCTTCACAATGCGTGGGTTAACAGTAATTAACATTTAAAAAAGTCAGTGAAATAACGAGAAACGATCTTATTTTAAATATTCAAAAATATTCCTGAAGCTAATCAAACAAAACATTACTATTTCTATACTGGAGAATAAGCTGTTTTGCAGAATTTAAAAACGTGAGTATTGTTATTTTTGTATATGTTAGTAATCTGATGGATATTAATAAAATTTGGCAATGATAAGGAAAATATGAAACTAAAAGCAAAGCCTAGATAGGAATGCTGACTTATAGAATATAAGGCGCAACTGCACAAGAATATAAGCATTTTTAATCTATTGATGGTCATCAAGGAGCTCACCTGCGCAACCGCTGAAGGGTTAATAGTACCATGAAGGCTTACTGCCGATATAAAAGGAAAAAAAGATGCCAGACCGAGGTTCTGTCAGATACTTCATTCGATCAGGTATGAATGCTCTGCATTAAGTTCAATGACTGATCGCTCTAACTAATTATCAAAATATGACTTGGAATTTTAATTGATTGGCTATAGCTTTGTTCTAATATGAGTTCAATTTATCCTTTATTCAAAGAATCATTCAATTTCTATAAAAATTAAAATTTTTATAAAGCCTATAATTCTTGACAAGAGCCAAGGGTAGGCCACTTAAGGTAAGTGAGGCACTTACCTTAAGTGAACAACAAGACACCAAATTAGCTACAAAACTAGGAATTTTAGGAAAAAAATTTGAATTTTAGTTTTAAAATTTGAAACACACTGAGAAATATCGTTCAAAATTATTTAAAGTGCCAAATTTATTATTTAGTACCACTTATATTGTTTATAATAAATTAAAAACATTACATTTTTTACAGCGCCATTCAGTCGCGAAACTAGAAAATACAGAGCCCTTGAACCTATCAGCCCAGTCAACTTGCAGGGTATTTCCTTCTTCCTTATCGCGTACCTTCGTGATGTGATTGGAAGCACTTCCCGGCCAGCAGTTCGGGAGGTCCGGATTCGATTCATTTGTAGAGTCATTAGGTTTATCAGAGCAGGAAGTTTGAAAAATCAGAGACGTCTTCGCCAGTATTCGAACTCCGGCATCCCGACTGCTAACTGGATTTGCTTTCAATTATACAACGAAGGCACGGAATAAGGACGGAGAAATAACTTCCAAAATTAGCATTTCCCAATTTGTGTCAGGTCAGCTTTATTTTAGCATAGTAAACAATAAACTAAATGAATTAAGAGAAATTTTTATGTCATAAACAATCCCAGACTCGTAAATTGTGAGTGGCTAATTGAATGACATCAGTGCATTCTCAGAAAAGTAGCGATTCATTTTCAAAAATCCTGCGTTTTACCAATTTTTTTAGCACGAAAACTTATTTTTAGTATCGTTAGTAATAAATATACAAGTGTTTGTGCTTTTGCACAAAAATTTCTGAGGAAAGTAACCAAAGAAGTGGAGGACCAAATAAATTTTGTACCATGACAATATGGCGATAATCAATTAAAGAAATCTTACCGTCTAACAATTAACATTACCGTCTAACAATTAACATTTATGAATATACCGTCTAACAATATACATTTATGGATTGATTTATGTTATTTGAATAAGGCAAAGCAGTTCAGGGCTATCTGCTTAAGGGAAGCGGTGCCTTCGTGGAGGCCTTTTTAAGGGCAATCAGCTCGTATTCATGTTACACATGGGGACTACAAAAAAAGGTCCATGCAAGCAGCCCGTTCACATGGGTTTCATCCGGGTCGAACTACCAGTATTCAGCGGTCTTAACCACTCGGGCATTTATGGATTGGGTACAGTGATCAGAAAACACTACCAGTACAAATGATTTTCGACTTGTTTCGTTTTAGCATGAATTTTTTTTTCTTTAAATCTGTGTTTCCATTATAAGGAGACACTGAGATTTCAACATTGCCTTGGATAAGACCTCCAAGTTTGTTCTCTCAACGTGATCGGCGATTGCCAGTGTTCTTTTCAGTAAACGATATGAACAAACGGCTATTGAAGCGTCATCAGGCAATTAAACAATGCTGTCTTAAAAGTTTGCTGTTAAAAAATATGTATCATTTGCAGTCTTGTCTATATGTATTTCTAAATTTTGCTTGTCTCGGAACTATATGATAACGAGAACTGCACTTTCAAGAATAAATTTGTTTGTAATACTTAATATTGTTTTGTGTCTTTTTGAGATTTTGCTGCTGTAGTTTGCAATAACCATTAATCTGTGGGATCTTATCACCCGCACATAAGTAATACATGAACAAAATTTCATACAATCGAGCCCACCAGCGGCCGTGCGGTAAAACAGCTGAATACTGGAAGTTTCCCACCTAGGTTCCATTCCAGGCGAACGGACTGACTGCATGTGCTTTTTCGTGGTTTTCCCAATGTGTAACGTATATACGAGCCATTTTCCTTAAGAAAATCCTCCACGAAGGCTTCCCTTCCCCTTAGGCATATAGCCTTAGTGTGCTTTGACATAATCTACCAAATCAAACCAAACCATTATAATCGAAGAGCCTCGTCTAGTATTACAACTTAACTAAGCATCGGCTTATATGACAAATTATTGTCACGTTTATTTATCCAGTTTCTGCTACTGTTTGACTGTTAGGGTACAGCCAGATAGCTGACATCACTTAATTGGATTGTCGAGATTTCTTCCGAAGCCGGACTGTTATAAAATTCTTGCTTCGACGTTTAAAATCCTGGAAGAGGAGGATGTGAGTAAAGGAGAAAATATGGCTGGAGTGCCATTAAGAAGTCATTTTTGAAGTTGAGTGGCATTTTGACGCCTGTTACAAAGGATTATTATTGACAAATGAGTCATAATTTAAGATGGTACTTGTCAGTGACATTGACCAGGACATCTTTAAACACTTCCTATAAAACCAATTCCAAAAGCATGCGGCTACATTTTCGCTGATTCCAATGGTACAACTGTTTGAACTATAATCTGCTAACTTCGACCAGCTTTCTATCTTACCGTGCTTTGCAACGTTCTACTTTCTCGCAAACTGTGCTGAATCGACATGTAAGATATATGCAACAAATTGTTTCTCTCACGAAAAATGGTATAATTGTGACAGAACCAGCTATTTTATATGATTTTCACACTGAAGTCAGTTTTGGTATCGTTTGTAATAAATATACAAGTGTTTGTGCTTTTGCACAAAAATTTCTGAGGAAAGTAACCAAAGAAGTGGAGGACCAAATAAATTTTGTACCATGACAATATGGTGATAATCAATTAAAGAAATCTTAGAGCAAAAATATTGTTCTAAATTCACTTTGCTTGCTACATTTCTCTTTTTTTCAACTTTTGGACTGTTATCTCTTATAAGAATAGGTCTGCGGAAGTCAATGTTTTCTAAAGAGTTCTGTTATTCAAAACATTGCGATGATCAATTTAGTACACATCCTTAAAGATGCATTCTCACGAAGCTTCTATAAATAGCATAAATACTGCCTCAAATCAGTGTTTCAATGAATGTTATTTCAAAGACAAGAAAGTAATAATTTATATTTTAAATCAAATTTCCGTGCAAGTATTTTCCGCGAACATTTTGAACATCAGGGTATATCATCTGTGCTAAAATCAGAAAGATCTGGTTTGTTACACTGCATTGCTACTCCTCTGAACTTCTATACAGCGTCATTTTCCCAGTAGCCGCATTCTGTCTCGTTCTTCGCGATATATTTCCCGTGAAGGATTGGATTGGATTATTCAATTATGGCAAAGCACACGAGGGGCTATCTGCCTAAAGGGAGGGATGCCTTCGTAGAGGACTTTCTAAGGGAAACTGGCTCGTATACACGTTACACATGGGGAAAACCACGAAAACACCCATGCAGCCAGCCCGTTCGCGGGATTCGAACCTCGGACCGAACTACCAGTATTCAGCGACTTTACCGCTCGGCCGCTGGTGGGCCATAATAATGATCTGAAATAGTTATTTACTCTTATGCTTCCATTCAGTCATGTTTAGCCTTTTTTAACAGCTGTGTCCAGTGTTCAGCGTCTTTACCGCTCGGCCGCTGGTGGGCCTCCCGTGAAAAGGTACTTAAATCAATCATTATACGACTTAACACATTTTTTTTACTATAGATACTTATCTGATCCAGTAGTTATTATTATTTCTCCTGTATTCGATAATAACGATCCCTTTTTATTATAGGTACTCATCTGATCCAGAAGTCATTATTGTTTCTCCTGTATTCGATAAGGATCTTCCGGGGAGCTGCTCCCGTAAAGCTGTAGTGACATGTATTTCAGATGAAGTGGAAAGGAAAATTACGCAAGTTACAGCGTCCCAGAAAAATAAAAGTAAGAATTTATATGCAATGACCAGCCGAAACATTAAAATCATCTTTCTAATATGATATAGATCCATCTCTGCCTGCTAAATGAGCTTATATCCAACAGGGCATAAATTCAGCAAGATACTGGTAAGTGTCACGTATTGTATTTGCAACAGAAAGGTCCCTGCAAACTGTGCTCGAGGTTATGCTGCTTCTGTTTTTCCAGTTTTGAAAAAGCCCGTAGGACTTTGGCAAGTTTAAAAGACATGAAAATTAATTGAAATTCTGCTTCCTGTTCTTAGAACCATATCTTAACCTTCTTCCAAAGTGTGACATGGAGCATTGGTAAAAGACATGTTTGCCTTAAAGCATGTGAAATGTGTATGTGTTGCAATAAATATGAAATAACGTACATTAGCCACGATGTTCGCCCAGGGTTACATTGTAGGAAGCTTTTTGCAAAGGAATAATACTCCAGATGCTACTCCAAAACTCCTCACTTGCCCTTACGCGTCTCGATAAGCATCTGCTATAGAAGAAATCTTTGGCTAACATCATAATCAAGCTCGTCTATCTACATTGGTACGCATGAAAGAAACTCATCTGACCATGTACCATTTTCTATCAGCCATCGATGATCCTGTATCGAGGATCAGGTGCTTTGCAAGCATGAGTAGCTATGAACCTAGGCATATGATTGGGTTTGCAGTTGCGAAGACCCTTGTCGAATAATATATAGTTAATTAAATATTCGGACGAACTGAGTCTCCTACTTATTCCCTCCCCTTCGAAAATACCGAAGGATCAAGCATTAGGAATTCTATAGACCTTAAGTTTGTATTATCTCAATAACAATATCTCTGATAGCACTGCTGCCGAGAAAAGATGGCCTGCTCCGATATCTAACTTCACTGAGGTTTAGCCAGTATACGCCTTATCTACGTTTTCAAAGTGTCTCTGGACCATCTGCTCTTTAATTATATTATAGAAACTAAGTAAATTTTTACTTTCCATATGTTGCGGTGGATCGAAAGAATAGGTTAGGTTAGGTTAGGTTATTTAATTATGGCAAAGCCTCGAGGGCTATCTGCCTAACGGGAGGGATGCCTTCGTGGAGGACTTTCTAAGGAAAACCGGCTCGTATACACGTTACACATGGGGAAAACCACGAAAACACGCAGCCAGCCCGTTCGCGGGATTAGAACCTCGGACCGAACTACCAGTGTTCAGCGACTTTACCGCTCGGCCGCTGGTGGGCCGAATCGAAAGAATAACTTAGAAAGCCGTGATCGAGGTATAATATATTCCTCTCAATTTTAGTATGTACCCTAGATGCAGGCTCACGAATTTCACTAACTCAAAGATGGTTAAACTGTTTAGGCTAGTTGGCATTTGAAGTCGAATTAAGTTACGTAATTACCTTTACTCTATATTTAAACATTTTCAATAAATTCGAGAAAAATGTTTTACATAGCTTGCACTATAATTCGTGCTATTTTATACCTGCAAGTTTTAAACCATCGTTTGCTTTTTTTTGCCTATGAAAAGAAATAATTTTTGTATTATTTCGTGACATATATAAATTATATAACTTTGTAATTAGATTTTTAGTTTTCTAGCATGCTGCAGATGTAGCAAAGTAGTTCTAAAACGTTAACCAGGCTCCTCCCCTCCCGAAAACGAATTCTGTTGAAACATTAAAGTGCAACCAAGATAAGAGTTTATATGTTGCAAAACGTTTGGGAATTTGGTCTGTTTTGATTTTATTTACGGGTAATATCATCTCTTTATAAGTAATATTGTCTCTTCATTGTGCTACTCCGGTAAGTCACCAAAAGATAATTTCTTCTCCCTCTCCTCTTCCTCCAAAAAAGCGAAGAATTGAGCAACAGGAATTCTGTAGATTTTTTTTTCTTTTAAATAATGAACGTTTTAGGATGTAGCATTTCTTCTACTACACCTGCTAACACTTTTATGAAAGAAATGACGTGATTTTTTATAATTTTGTAATAATATGTGTAAATTTCACAAAGAATACAAAAATAGCAAGCATTTTGTTTCACTATATCTCGCATTCAATAATACTGAAAAATGAATCTATTATGCGATGCTAAATTTTAAATTGCCAAGTCATGAAATTGGTTACTAAAATTTGTTTTGGCTGTTTAATCAAATGTGCTAAACTTCAATATGATCTTCGTTGATATTATTTATACGCTACATATTTTATAGAGCTTTAGTGAAAGATACTTCTCAAAGCGTGACTTTTTAAAGCGTAAAAAGTACTGTTATAGTGTACTTGCATGGTGTCATGTCATAGTGTACTTGCATATGCTTTCTGCAAAATTTAATAATGGCAGTCGAGGATTTTAGATTTCACTTCTTTCAAAGCTAAACCACCAATGGCTAAATGGTTAAAACTACGAAAACATTGGTAGTTGTCCTAGTTTATAAGAATGGGCTGCGTGCATGAAAACTTCGTGGTTTTCTTCGTTTTTTCGTAATTTCACCTGCACTATAAAACTGCAGGTTATTTCCCTATTGCGTTAAGCCGTCTGTCAGCACTCTAGTAGATATGACTCTAAATACTAATCCTCATGACCAGTTGCCCAGGACCCCGGACGCGTAATGGCAGACTGCACATTGAGTTAAACAGTGTTAAACGAATGTCGCATACTGCGCATGCTCAGAAAAAAATTTGGCGTAATAACTATGTTGGCGCGATTTGAAAAGAAGATAAATACGGCATATGGTAGATGTACCGCCATCTGATTGTAAACAAATCTGGCGTTTAAAACTTCGTAGAGTATAATGTAAATGTAAGTTAATTACTGTGTTAAAATACTATTTTTTGTTGTACTGCTCAAACAACTAGAAAGCTGAAATTATTGCGAAGTAATGTGAAGCAGTGTTTGCATTCAAAATGTAAGATATAATACTTATGAAATTCTGCACATTCCTCTGGAACTGTACAAATTTTCTTTCAGAAAAAGACTGAAATTTAGGATATATTAGTTGAAAATTTATTCATTTTACTTTTAAGCAATAAAAACAATTCAGGATTTACCATACGTTCCATTCGTATATACATAAAGAAATACTGAGGAATATAGCAAGTGCTTGCAAATAACACTGAATTTTACAATTCCTTAATGCTAGTTATTAAATTCTTTAAAATGAGAAAATATAAGCGCGGATATACGCTAACAAACTAAGCTAGAATCTCCAGTTTACAATTACTGAATTATAACATGTGAACAAATTACATCTAAGTAACGAATTATTACGAACATATGTTAACAAATTTTAAATGCACTGTTATTAACAAATTAAAATGAAACATATATTAGAAAAATAAGCAAGTGCAATCGGTATGGACGTTAAAATAACTAATTAGCAAAGTTCCACAACATTGCAGTTGTGGAATCACTCGAACACACTCGACAGCCATGGAGATCACGAATAAGCTAGCGTAGGGTTGCTTAGTCGCCAATATTTCTCCCCGCGGCAAAGGTACACCATCAAGCATGCGCAGTAAGCGAAATTCGCTTAACACTGTTCAACTCAATGTGCGGTCTGCCATTACGCACCCCGGACAAATTATAATTGTTCATCCACGGTTCGGTTCCTAGTGAACAAATTGACCGCACGGGATTTTTTTTCCTCACGTGTTATATTAGTATTAGCTAATTTCGCCTAGAAAGCCTGTCTTCTAAGGAAACTAGCCTTCGCATGCTTTATCATAATCGATAAACCGGTCAACCCTAATCAAATCCTCCACGACGCCATCGCATCCTGCAGACAAATAACTTTGGTCTGTTTTGCCGTATTAAAATAATTCGATATTTCTATCCAAATAATATCAATCATTGAAATATACTAGCTGAAAACTAATTTCTTTTGGTTTAAAGTTGGATGTTAGGGAATAGATATTCAAATAATTTTTGTACTGTCTTATCATAGTTAAATTTAATTCTTTGAATATAAATAACATATATGATTTTAATCATTCATGTAACATATATGATTTAACCCATATTATAAAGTAACATATATGATTTAAATCATTTACATTACTTTATTAATGATACCTTTAATATTATTGTTTTGTTAATTTTCAGTTAGCGTTGTATCTTTTACAGTATAAATAATATTTTAAATAAATTATATAAATTTTAAAATAAAATTTTAAAAAATTATACTTTTCATTATGGTCATTCGTTTGTCATAAAATAGTATGAGAGTTTTATTGAATTTACACTGAAATTCGAGATGTTTTTGGTATTAAACCCCTTCAAAAACTCTCGGAAACTTTCATTTATTTATACATTATTAAATTTCTAAATTTTATTTTCTGTAGAAATTATATTATTAATCCCAATCCGGCGAGTTCAAATGTTTAGAATTTTGCAGTTGTTGCAGGCAATTAATTTTATTTACTATAATTCCACTAACTTCGAAGATTAATCATACGCACTGTAGAATTATTCCATGAGTTTGCTGTCAGTAACGAATTTCTCTGTTAATAACAAAGATGTAATGGATTGTTTCTCAGGGTGAAGTGCAGAATCGCCCACTTATTTGTTTGGCGCTTTTTACAAGAGTAAGAAGAATTGAATTTTTGTCAATTTTCTTTGACCTTTTTTAAGTGAAAATAGGTCGATCTGTACATGGATAAAGTCAAGGGAGTGCGCAATGCCATTTTTGTGCAATTATGAGATGTTTTTCTAAGTGAAAATAAGTCGACGTGCACATGGATACCGAGTTAGTGCAATTCTTAAAAACGCGCCAAGCAGTGGGCGATTCTATACTTTTCCCTGTTTCTCATACAAGCATCACGTTAATGGGCAAAACTGTAGCCTGGAAAGAGGAACTTTCCGTAAAATAATACCTACACATGTTTCATTTTATCTTCAGTTTGCCTAATGGATTTTTGATTAGTGGTCAGACATTATTAATATAAATAGTCTGATTATCCTGAAGGTATCTTTCTGTCAAAGTGATTTACTGCTACTTTGGCTTTCC